TGCAGTCTGTTCTAGAGATCCCCCTCGGTGGCACATTCCCATGCCTCTCCTGAGGGTGACCAAGTGCTGGCTCACTTCCTACCATTACTTATCTAAGCTAGCCTTGCAGCTGTAATCATTGGGCACTTTTCTAGTGCTGAAGCAGTGCTGCTGCTGTTGTGGTTCTGCCACTATGAGCTGTGTCAACAGGTAGGCAAACCACCATGAAGAATAAGTAGCACCAGAGACAAAAGCCACTGGGCATTCCGGATCAAAGCCGAGCGTGATTCACCCAGCTTCAGGCCTCTGCTCTATTGCCTGCCTAAATCCAGTGCCTATTTATGCATAAAAAGTAGTTCTTTCCAAAGCTATTCAGGTGCCAGAAATAAGAGATTATTATGACTTCATGTCAAGTTGAAAGACAGGTAGAGGAGAGCACAACGTTTGTGTTGGATTCAAATGTCTGCCGAAATCATTCCTGTCATTGCTAATTGATGCTGCATCTGTCTTTAAATTGTGACTATTGGAAAAAAAAAATAGCTGAAGATCTTATTCAGAGAAATAATTACAGCTGTACACTGGTGGATATAAAATTAAAGTACATGGGGGGGAGGGAGTTACATCCTATAATTTATCAAGTTCCTACGGTCCTGAAAAATAATTAGATGCTGGGCAGCATGCAGGCCCTGCTGCAGAGGCTACTCTCAGGGGGATAGCAGTGGTCAAAAATAGGCCAGTGGTTCTCATTTATTCCATCCATTTTTGCTCTTCTATTGTGTTTGGAGTATTAGTTTCCAGCTATCTGGAGACAAGGCAGAGAAACAATGGCAGGCTTTATTAAGAGCTGGAGACGTAATCCCCAAGCACGAGTGCAACTGCACGAGTAAGCTGGAAAGGGAAAAAAGGGAATTCAACTTATGCCTGGCTTTCAGGAATTTCACCCTCCAAAGTCCTTGAGTGTGATATAGTTACAGGCAGTACTAAATCTGCATTACTTTGACAAGTTTTCACTGAAGCCATTGAAGATTATTAATGGAAGCAGTATATAATGTAGCTCTTCAATAGATGCCTTACATCCCAGTTGTATGGCTTGGTGGGTTGGTTTTTTTCCTTTTTCTCAATCCTTTTCCTGATGGTTTTGTGGATGTTAGCTGAATGCTTCACAGGTCAATTTGTAAATTTTAATAGAAAGGAGCAACTTAATCTAGTAAAAATTTACACTCCTCTGTGTGAGCCAGACACAAGCTTATATCACACCAGCTCACCAGACACATGCTTCTCTAGCCCCTCTGCAGCAGAACTGGAATCTAATATATGATATATATTATTACCACACAACATACATCACTTTAAAGTTTCCAGCAGTCTTGCCAGACACGCTTCTTCCTCTACCTCCACTCCTGCTGCTTTCCTTTATCAAGACACCATCTTCAGCTCTACGTTGGAAGATCCCTACATAACCCAACTGCTTCCCCCTCAGGAGGCCTGTGTTTGAGAGGTGCCAGAGACTCCCCATGGCACAGACAGCAGCTGTTTTGCCACTTGGTAATAGACTATCCTGGCAGGGCCCATAAGCAGAAAGAGCTTGGGACAGGTCTCCCATGTAGTTGTCCCTTAAGAGCACAGTCATGACTGCTCTGGAGGGTTCAGTTCATTCCAGGTTGTGTTTTCCACAGCACACAGAGCAGCAATTCCAGTGCTTAGCACTGCTTTCCATACCCACTGTGTGTGCAGAGGAGCTTGGGGTGGGGAAGGGGGAGTGCAGTGACTCCTGGCACTGTCAGCTGAGTTCCATGTATGGAGCAGTCCAGAGGACAGTGGTGGAGATCCTGCTGGAGCAGAAGCTGTTTGCAGAAGTCCAGTGCTCTGAATCCAAGCTGGGACATGGAGGTTTTGTGGCTGCTGTGTCACAGGCTGGATTAAAAGCCACAGTGGACTCTGCTCTTCCTTTGGCTCTGGCTTACTGCATGGGAGTGCAAATGTCCTTTGCCCATGTAGAGTAGATAATTATCATTTTATGTAAGCTATGTGAATTTAGGATTCACCTCTAGAACATTGTTTAAGGAGGTCTTGGAAGTGTAACTTCATACTAGTATCTGCCATTGTAAACCACAGCCTTAGGCAGCAAGATAATGTCCTGGTATCTAGGCAATAGAGTTTATGTCTAGAACTGCTTCCTGCAGCTTCAAGGACTTCTTCTGCTGATAGTTGTCTTTCTGATCTCTACATCACGCTGGTGAAACAAGGCATTTGTTCATAAATTAGGAACCTGTGATTGTAACGAGATAATACAGAGATGTGTCAACTTCAGCAGTTTTTATATGTCTGGAAATTGAAAACCAATTGCTTATCAGAAATGTTCATCAGCAAGTTCCTGTGTAAATATTAAAGTTTTACGTTAAAGAAGCTTGCTGCTTCACTGAGTCCAATTGTAAAGTAGCTGGGAGGGATGGGCTCCTCCTTCATATGCTGTCAAGTTAGGGAATTGTAAAATTAAGGTGCTTTTTTTAGCACAATTCCATAAGACATGCATGTCCAGATGCAATTTTAACTTCTCCTTTACATTTGCAATTCAATGTGTGTAGGAGCCTCCAAAAACGAAGTCTTCCATGAGAATTAACTTAGAGTAATATAAAGTAATAAAAATTGATTGCGGCACCTTCTTGGTTGTCTTCTGAAAATTTATAAATAAATAATTGCAGTAATGGGTATCAGTGTCTTCTAGAAGGTTTCCCTTCCCCCCCCCCCTTTAGGTTTCGTTACAACAATGGGCTTCACAATGACTCATTGCCTTGGTTAGGAGCGGGAAGACATCCCTCATTATTCATTACTAAAGGAGGGACTTTGCTGCTGCAAAGAACAGCCATGGCATTCTAATTCAGCTACCTTTCAAGAGAAAGGAGTCAATGTCATTCTTCCTCAAACTTTGCCAAAAGAGACAAGAAATAATGCTGTTTAATTGTCTCCGTCTATAAATAGCCCATTCACCACCAGCGAATTGGAGTTTTAATGCTGCAGTCAGGAGGAAGAGAGACACATATTTCCACATTTGTGTCTGAATTTCATTTCGGGGAGCTCACGCTGAGACTCTCAGAACTATAAATGAGCTTGTATGTGTGTATGTATAAATATGAAATGCATTTCTTTATTTACGATTTCTTATATCACTTCTTAATTACAGAGCCATAGATGTATCCCACAAATGCACACACGAAAGCATTTATTGCCTAAGTAATCCAAGGATATATTTGATTTCAAAGGGAGTAGAGAAGATTGTGTTGAAATAATTGTTTTTCTTCATTTGACGAATACTAAATGTTTCTTGCCTCTTTTTGAATTCCTCTTTTTTCAGATTTATTTACTTAGATATTAAGGGACTGAGCTTATATTATGTTTTTAGTGTATCTTAATGTGTTTTTTTATTAAGCTCTACAGCATGGGCCATGCCTTTTTATTTACAAAGCCATGATCATGTATTACTAGAAACTCTATTTCAAACTGTACTTTTGCCAGACTTGGTTAAGATTTTCTAGGAAGGGACATGATAATTGTTTGATCTTCAGAAAAGGGAAATTTTGGCTCTGCAGTATTTCTTACTGTATTAACTTCAGAGATTTATAACTTGAAACTGCACCGTAAGTGTGTTTATAATGACTTTTAGCTGGTTTAATAATCCTCAAAGTTTGGTGACTGTACAGATCACAGCTTCACAAATACAGTCCATTACCTGTAGCATCCAGATGAAGCTTCCAGAGGTGGAAGAAATTACTTGGGATTGTATTTCTCCTTAGCAATGCATTAATCCAGCCTCTGGCTGAGGCTGGGGCTCCCAGAGCCCTTGTCTGCACTGATCCCATTATGCAGTGGGGACATGTGCATGGATGATAAAGCACATCTTCATGTTGAAAGCCCAGCTCGGGCACGTGTACACCATCAAATCTTGGCGGTGCAGTTGTAAGGCACCCGGTGTGGTGATGTTGGGAAAATTTTCAAGCCAGCCTAGGATTCATTTTTTTCTGTTGTTATCAATATCTACAGTGTGCTGTTGCTTGTGCCACTCCCTGCACCTGGCAGTGCTTGATGTCTCTCTTCGCTCATGATCCTCCAAACCTTTTTCAACCCAAGGAGCCCTTGATGATGCAAATAGCTCTGCTAATTGCAGGAATCAGTGCTGTCTTATCCCAGTGGAGTGAGAGCTTCTTGGACAAGTAATGGTGTGCAGGGTCAAGTCCTTAGGTTACATTTATATGTGACAAGCCTTAGCAGAGGGTTGTCTTCAAAAGTCACCACTTCAAACCAGCTGAAACAATGCCAGAAGCCTCACGTTCGGCTCTCTGGCTGCACGCTCCTTTCAGTGTTTCCAGGCTTTGTTTTTCATCACAATAAATATCAAACAACGACCCTGGGAATCACGAGGAGCTGGATTGGTAGGTCTCAGTCTCCATTTAACATGCAAATGATCAGCCTGTGCCCACATCTGCCCGCTCATCTGATCAGAGCTCGGTTCATTAACGCCGGCGAGAGCTCCGGGTGGATGTGGGGTATGTGCATAACAACCCAGAGCACGGGGCTTTAAGCCAGAGAGCAAACAATACACAACGTGGAACTGAATTTCCATATGTTCAAGAATCCAAATACTGGACGTGTTTTTGCAGAACCCTGGTTTTTCCTTTTGTGGTCGTCCAATTCACAACAGTTGAGTGATCAGGCTTCAATCAACTGCATTTCCAGATCAGTTATTTGAGATATTTTGTGACTTTAAAGCAATTCCTGACCTTCATCTCTCAGATGGCATGCAGAGTTTCTTTAATGGTGCTAAGGACTGAACAGGAGCCCACTAACACCTGCAGAATTCACCTCTCTGGCGTGCTCCTAATTTTCACTTTATTAAGCAGATAAAAGGATAGCAATTACCTTTCCAGGCTCCCTTGTTTGCTCTGTGATGTATTAGTCCAGCCAAACATGTCTTTGATGAGCAGAGTAAGCTGTGTGAAACCTAACGTGTGCCTTTATGTCCTCAGGCATCCACTGTGACAATACCTGCACCCAGGGCCGCTGGGGACCAAACTGCTCCATCTCCTGTAACTGTGAGAACGGGGGATCCTGCTCGCCAGAGGATGGCACCTGTGACTGTGCACCAGGATACAGAGGACCCTTGTGCCAGAGAAGTAAGATTTTCCATAGACGTGGTGGCAGAAGCAAAGCAGGTAGAAATGCTCATTTGTAACACCAGGCAGAGCTGCAGGTTGCTGAGCTGCTGTAGCTCATGACTTCCTAAGGGTAAAACTTAGCCTAGAAAATGCTTCTCGATCAAGAGGTCAAGCCTCTGCTGCATGAAATTGTGCTTTGTGTTTCTTCTTCTGGCCTTTCACAGCACCTTGAGGTCACAGCTGGCCCGAAAGAAGGCACAACACTTTTACATACCAAACTTGGCAGGACCTGGGCAAAACCAGATTTACAGTTAAGTCATGGTGAGCTGCAGGGTACCTGTTAAACAGTCAGCTACAACCAGTCACGTAACGGCACGTGGAGGAGCGTTGGCTACCAAAGTAACAAGACAATGTTTTCTTACATGCCAGCAAAAGAAACACAGCAGCCTGAAATAGCTCCTGTCTGATGCTCTGCTGCTACATATTAAAATGTGTTGAGGAGATAAAAATCCTCACATTTGCTTTACCTGGGAAGCTGCCTCTGCCCCTGAGGGACCCGTACTCGCTGAGCTGAACTACGTGCAACCATCTTCCTGTGTAAACAAGAAATGGACTTGTCTGTCTTTTCTGAAGCAGCTCTTGTTCTTCCTGTAAGACATCCTGTATGCCCAGTTCATCTATCCCCTTTGACTTCACCAGGTACACTTGACACTGGAACAGGCTCATCTCTAAAGATAATTTGTAGCTGACAGTTTTTATTTAAAGCCATTATAACGATGACCTCTAGCACTGCTGTAGCTAATGGCCTATAAGCATATCCATTATAACCCCCAATTTCCAGGTGCTTCAGCACATCTATATAGCTGTAAAACCTCTATCCAAGGCTAAAATGCAGCACTCGGAGCTTCAGGGAATTGGGGAAGAAATTGTTTTACAAATTCAGAACCCTAAGAGCACAAAACTTCCACAAGTTAATAGTTTCTGACCTTTCTGAGATGAAAAAAAAACAGCTTAGTTTTATCAGCTGATGGCACGTAGGCTACAAGAGGCAAATCATGTCCCCAGTTTACAATTCCAGTAATCAGGCTGCTCCCTGAGGACATTTGCTAAGGACCTAATGGGGAGAAATTTTCCTCCCTGATGGGGTGACAGCAGAGGGGTCTTGTGGATGCTCCTGCTATTGCCTCATGTCCCTGTAATGTCTCTCTGTGAATTACAGCCAGGAAATTCAGCTCGTTTCTACCTCTTCTGCAGGAGTCACAACTGCCTTGTGAAGGGGGCACCTCTGTAGGTGAAGGTAGCTTTAGTTTGCTAAGTTTTCTCTCAGAATCATTCCTATTTTTCTCTCGGAAATTCCTTTAGAGACAGAATTTAGCCCATAAAAGGCAATACTGAAGGTGAGGCTCAGCTTGTTCTGTCTGTGTAATCAGGATTCCATGAGACACAGGGATGGTTTACTGCTCTTAGGCCTGCAGAAATGTCTCCAGGAGTGATCCAAGTTGGTTTATAGCTAGTGCATCACCAACAAAGCTGACAGCAAAGTTCCAGCTGGAAATCCGCAGTAGTGTAAGAACTTGACACCCTCTGTGAACATAGAGACCAGGGGAAAAATTCTCATTCAGTGAAAAGAGAACGGACATGATACAGTAACCACTGAGCCAGAACTATATAACAGAGAACCACAGGAGCAAAAGTAAAATCATATAAAATAATTTTTACAGTTACTTGCTGCAATTTAACATTTCTTTGTGCTCCTCTGTCACGGTGAATGTTTGGACAGTGGATGGTTTTTTGCTCAACATGTGCTTAGAAGTGACAATACACATTTATAAGAGATACTGAGCCATAATCTTGGCACTATACCTTATGTACAAATTCTGTAATAATTTCAATCCAGGTTTTAAGCACATTAAACATACAGCTCATGACAAGTTTACTCAGCTACTGATGCAAATGAGGTGATTTTGTATGCTGTTGCAGTAATTACCATTTTTAGATTCTGCTCATCACGGATGGATGCTGCTCCTGCAATGGCAATGTTACAAACTGACTGGCCCAGTTGAACACAGGCATTGCACCTAATATGTTTAGATACCAGGTTTTGACATAGTTGTTTGGATGGGAAATGTTGAGAGCTCCTAATACACCTCCTCTGCTTTCTTTGCTTGATTTCCAAAGGAAATGGCATTCTGTGTTTCTGTTGTCTGTACACGTGTGAGTGCTTCTCTTCCTAGCTTAAAAAGCTTTGGAATATGTGGTATTAACCGTATCTCCTGGTGGGCTCTGAGGTCTTGAACATCTTAAACTCTCGTGTTTTGTAAGAGTTTAGCTGGGGCAGGTTAGAGAGACTCAAACTGGTGTTTTGAGAGAGAGTACTGAGAGCGCTCTACTGTGTAATTAAATAGCCAAGGTTACATGAGGCAGGGTGGTGTGAATGCTTCAACCACAGAACAGTTTTACCCAGAGCTCACACTTTATCAGACAAGGAATAATCCAAAAAGGCTTCATAATTTCAGCAGTTTGCAAAACGGTGGGTTTATAAATGAAGAAACAGCAGTTTGGGATTCAGACGGCGAAGAGAATTCTCCAACTCTCAGCAAGGTGGAATCTCGTGGCAAGCTGTGACGGGTTCTTCTGTTTGCTCTGCAGTCTGTCCGGCAGGGTTCTACGGGCAGCAGTGCAGCCAGCCCTGCCCCCGGTGCGTGCACAGCAGCGGGCCCTGCCACCACGTGTCGGGACACTGCGACTGCCTGCCGGGCTTCTTCGGGGCGCTCTGCAACCAAGGTACTCAGCCCAACCCCCGGGGGCCACCTCCTGGCCTCAGTGCCTGTGCCTTTGCAGCAGGACCAACCCCAAGGTTCCTGCCTTTCCCCCCCCCCCGATTTAGCAGTGTAGAAATTCCTTACTTCAGAGGGAAAATGCAGATAGTCACCCTTTTGTAAATATGGTGTGCTCCTGCTTTCATAAATAAACCAGTCCTGCTGCTCTCTATTGAAGTGAATGTGGAATGAGACACCTGCTGTAAACACACCAGCCAGCCAATGGTTTCATTGTCCTTTCTGCTAAGCCTATCATATCCTAAATGTTGGTGGCACCTTCACGCACTCTTTTGCCGCAGGAGGAGTTGATACTAGTTGAGGTAAAGGGCAGCTCAGGTGCAGAAGCCCAAACACCCAGTTAATGCATGGAACCCCATTTACACTGTCTAGGACCTGGCTGGGAACAGCAGATCATGCACAAGCACAGGAGACAGAAAAAAACTGCAATGAGGCAGGGAGAGTGAGTTAATTTTCACAGGTGAAGACTCACTTCAGCTTCTCCTAATGTCTGTCACCTTTATGTACCTTTGAAAGTTAGTCCATTTTTAACCATGGCTTTGATTTTCAGTTTTATCCTAAAAATGCCCATAAAATCATTACAGGATTCTGTAGGGTCGGAGCTCTTGCATACTGCTGTGGGTATTTTCTACATACAGATTTAAAAGAGATTATTTGTAATGGCTTCTGCCCTTGTGAAGTCACCACCCCAGCAAAAATTGAACTGACACTTTTTAATGACCTGCTTTTCAGCAAGTTAGAAATTGCAGACAGCACTTATGCAAAAATCATTAAACATAGATTAAGTATAACCATGTTTTCTTTTTCCTGTGCTGTACAGTCAACTAAACATTGTACCAATGAATTTATTAAAATGAACATATTTCAGTGATTGTGTCCATTTTGTGAGAAAAGTTAGCCAGATTTCAAAGCGTAAGCAGGGCTAATTATCCTCTTAAGAAAACTATTTTATTTTTGCTCAGATGTTCAGCACTTCTGGTTTTACTTTGAAATGTTGATCTATCCAGCAAATTAATTTTAAAATATTCATGTCCTAATTAAAATCAATTTGTGTTGCAGTTTGTCATAATGAGTTAGCATGTAACTTTATTTTGTAGAAAGAAAAATGCTAATTAACGTTTTCCATTAGAAAAACGTGAAACGAAGATTTCACTTTTAAATTTTCATCTCCTTGTGCTGTCTCTCTTCTGGCAGCAGGAACATTGGTCCAGCAGCAGCACGTGTGTGCAAGAAGCTGCATGACCTCCAAAAGCTGCCCAGATTGACAGGGTTGTGCAGAGGATTCTGAGCAGCAAACAACTAAGAGGCTGTTTTATGAAAAATCTCTTTCACAACCACGTAGCGAGATGGATTGATAATAACTTGTTATCACTACTAGAACACAGCTGACATCCCACAGGGGCTTTCAGAGGCCCACTTCAGGGCTTTTAGAGCTAATTAACATCGCTATCTGCGTTGTACAATCAGACTGCTCCTGAAGAAAGTATTACACCTCACCTTACAGCTTTGTTCAGAAACGTTTGAGGCAGTTGAAAAAGTGCTTGTGTTTGGATCTCAGGTCTTTACAAGAGAGTCCCTGTGTCCATCCACAACCAGGTAACTTAAATGAACAAGAACAACCCTTTTGGCTGGGTGGGGTTTGTAATCCCTCCGTGCTGATGTTCTGGAGGGCATCCCAGTATTTCACTGAGACAAGAGGTGCTCTCACGGCAGGAACCCCTCTGCCAGCTCTCACTGTGTGGAACCAGAGCACTTCTTTTATAAAGTGTGACCTGTTGCCTTTGTCAGCATCAGTGTGTGGATCACAAATCCTTTCCTGGTTCATTAGTATTCCATGTTGCAGTGCAAAACAGCTCCTACTTTAAGTAAGTCTTTTGAGAACGATATTTTTGTACATATAAAAACTCCAGCCTTCATTTAAGTGAGGTTATCTATCTCCATCTAAAAGATGCAATAAAAATATTGCATTGAACTGCTCTATACAGAGCCCTGGAACTGAATAATGCTGTAGCATGTATGAGACCCTAGGCTGACTGATGATTTTAGTTTTTCTATGATATGAGGGCTTTTCTTTCCTTCTCTCTCTTTCTTTTTGTGTCGATTGTTCTTTTCATTGTGTCTATATATTGTGTTTAGTTTTATCTCTTTTCAGTTAGAGAACTATTTTGTTCCACACATAATTTGAAAGCCAAAACCAACTTTATCCACTCCTACAGATAAGTCCACAGTGGATAGAAATGCATGCAGAAAACAATAGTATGCATGTTCTTAGGTTTCTGCCATAGCAAGAGTAGAGGATGGCAGACTGTAGAAAAGCAAATGAATCACAGCTCAGGATTTCAATCTATGGCTGATTCACAGTCAGGATAGATTGAGGTCACCTGCAGGGACTACATATGAGAAAGTGAGAGAGGCTGAAGTGGTGAAACAGCTGCATAATTCAGGGAAGTGCCTTAATCACTTTTTTGACATCACTATTATTTACCAGGGTACAAGTCCAGTTCCATTTGTTACATTCATCGCAAAGATGGACTGTATGTTTTATCTTGTTTTGAAAATACATCTGTTTTTGTCAGGGAACACAGCCAATAAGAGCACAGAAATTAAACATTTCATTCATTACTGAGCAGAGCTTTCCATCAACTTTAACGTTAAAGATTTCCAATAATATGGTGGGAGGCTGAAGATCTACGTGTCTATTAGTTTTATGTCACTGTGCTTAGGCTGTTAGAAGATGACTCTGAAAAAATGTAGAGTTTCTTTTCTTCCAGCTTCAGGAGTGAGTTAGATGGACAAACAGGAAGAGATGCTGAATTTTTTAGGATGCAGCCCATCTGTTTAACAGCTTTCAGTCAAACATTTATATGGAATCATAGAATGGTTTGGGTGGGAAGGGACCTTTCAAGGTCATCTAGTCAAACCCACTGCACTGATCAGGGACATTTGCAACTAGGGCAGGTTGCTCAGACTGCCGTCGAATCTGACCTTGAATGTCTCCAGGGATGGGACATCTTACCACCTCTCTGGGCAACTTGGGCCAGTGTCTCACTGCTGATTATTAAAAAATAATCATTGGAAACCACATTTTCAACCTAGTTGAACACTTACTACAGCAGGGAATACAGGAGAGGAATAGGTGGATGGATGCCAAAAGACAAGCATGATATTTCAGCAACTGGACATAGAATCATAGGGTGGTTTGGGTTGGAAGGGACCTTAAAGATCATCTAGTCCCAATGCCCCTGCCCTGGGCAGGGACACCTCCCACTAGAGTATGTTGCTCAAAGTCCCAACCAGCCTGGCCTTGAACACATCTTGAACGCACAGAGATGGGGCATCCACAACTTCCCCATGTGCTTTATTTCTGGAAATAGTCTTCCACCAGACTTATGTGGTAAAAATACTTACAGAAATGGAAGTCGTGCTCCTGGTTTAGTCTCCACTTCCATGATTTGAATCTGTGAGGTGCTTCTAGTACAATATCCATGGCTACTCTGTCAGGCCACCACACCACGTGATAAAGTTTGCAGCTTTTGATCCAGTATTACTGTCCTTATCAGCCATACAATACAAGGGAGTTAGATTCTAGTGACAGACCTGAAAGTAAGAGTCCACATTGCTCTTCAGCTTCTTGAGACTTCTTCCCTAGGCTGGTATTTAGCCTCAAATGCTGCTTTCCTTGTTGTGTTGTTCTTATTGTTGAGTTTGTAACCCTTTGTGCTAGCTCGCTAGCTCACTAGCACAGAACTCTATTTCACGGGGTTACACCAAGGGACCCCCTTGGCCAAGTCCCCAGGTCAATCCCTTCCAGCCCCTTATTGTGTTTGCTCCACTCTTAATTCCTCTAACTTTACTGTTCTCTTCCTTTCCCAATAACCCCTTTTCTCTGTTCCATCTCTGCTCTTTCCATCCTTCTGTAATGACCTTCAATAATGTAATCTTCTAACTATATTGGATTCATTTTCCAGCATAAAAATGTATTTTGAGACAACTTTTTCCTGTTGCTTTTATGCCTGGGTTGTAAGCAAACAAAATGGACTTCAGTCCTTTCTACTTTGTCCTTCTTTCCAGAAGAATTTTGCCAAAGACAAATGTTGTGATTACTTTTATCTCCAATTGCTAAATGTTAAGCCCTATAACTTCCTCCTATTCCTCCTGAAGAGCCTTCAGTAAACTGCCTTGTGTTTTGACAGTCTGTCCCAGCGGGAAGTACGGGAAGAACTGTGCCGAGGTCTGTCAGTGCACGGAGAACGGGACGTGTAACCCCACGGATGGGTCCTGCCAGTGCTTCCCGGGCTGGATAGGCACAGACTGCTCCCAGAGTAAGCCAAGGCTTCTTCTCCCACCTCTGCTCAAAAAGAACCTATTTTCCTGTTTAGAGTTTTCTCAAAGTTAAAGACAGATTCTGGGGAAATCCCTGAAGTATTACAGCAGCCAGTGCCTTACTCTTTTTATAGCTTAGTTCTTTTAATTAATCTAACTTAGCTTTGGCTTGAGTTCGTTTCTGCATTTGGAATTTGCAGAAGCCGTTACTAGCTTCTATTACAGGAAAGGGAGGTCACAAACTCTTATCAGAAAAGAAAGCTCCATGCTCCCTTTTAATTTCTAGCTGGATTCCCTTTTATTTATTTTTTGAAATCATTTTCTTTCAGCTATTGCATTAGAAATTATTAAGCAGTAAATGTTTTCATGTACCAAGCCCCCAGAATTGAGAAATTAGGCAGCTGAAATATTTCTATTAAATGTAATTTAATTGTAAAAGTCAATGTGGGCTTGGAGGGATGGAGGATTTCTTCTTGAAAATTGCCCAGGTAGAAGATTGGCATTTGCTGATCCCAAAGTGTCATTTCCTGAGAGCATCCCTTAATTGAAGACAGATCACAGAGGGAAGCAATATCCTATCATTCAGAAATGTTACTTCATATTCAGGATACAACTAGCATATTAGACAGCATTCCAGAGTAAAATATATTAAACTTCAAGTGATAAAGTAGGAATCGGATAAAAACAGACGGCTGTAATTTTGCTTTTATTGTGTATCTTCCACAGACAGAATATTGCTGTCACTCAAAAACAGGGGAAAAAAAAGGAAAAAGATCGAAGGCTCCACAGATTCCTCATTATGTTTAGCCATGTAATTGGGAAATGACTGCTCATTTCTGTTAACCTTGAAAAAAAGATGCTTTTTTTACAGAGTGAGGCAGGCCAGTTTGGCAGCCACTATTTGCAGTTTAGCAGGCAGAAGGGCCTGGCCATAGCCACTTTGTGTTTTGGAGGAACAAAGCTGGAACCTGACTGTTTCCTCAGTTACCTCCTTGTAAAGAAAGTGCAGCTCTCCTGGCATGAACCTGGCCTCACCCCAGGCTCCTGTCGGCACCTGGCGCCCGGCACGCAGCTATTTTGGTCAGAGCTCCCTCTGCACCAGCTAACCTGGAATGACCCAGAGACACAGGAGAGGATTTTAGCTCCCACTCCAGAGCCAGTTCTGGAGGCACTACCAGTCCCTGCAGCTCTGGCTTACAAAGGCACTGGGGAAGTATTTCTGGTTGCTTAGAGCACAGATACGCTAGGCCAAAGCCTGTTCAGCATTACACAGTGTGAGTTCAGTGACCTTTTGGTTGATTTACGTCACGGCAGGGTTTTTTTTTTGCTATTCATTCTGGCTTTAGGGACGTCTGTCATATGCCAGAAACTTGCATTTACTGTCAGAACAGGAGCCAATGGCACACATGGAAATAGGCACCATTTCTGTACTTTCAGGTTTCCTGGGAACCATGCCTTATTAATTCATGTCTTTAATAGGAAGCAATGGAAAGTGCTTTTTAAAGCAAAAATATAGTTGTTATATTGAAGAGTTATCATCATTTTGGATCTTTTAGCCTGGCACTAATAACTGTAACTTACTGCATTCATTTTTGGAGGGAAGCTTAAAATAACTTTTGAAAACGTATTAATATTGTACTTTTTGAAATATAAAATAGACCTGGAGATTTTAATTTCATATTAGCCCCATCAACAAAAGCATTCTGAATTTGTGGATGGGAATTCATACTGAAAGAATTTTTCTTTATGTTTTACGTCATTTGAGTAGCACTCTGTGATTCAAATGGATGTGGTAATTTTAGTAGTTGATTGCAGAATATCAAAAAGAAAATCAGATTAGCTCCATATCTTAAACCCTTGTCTAAATTGTCTTCACAGATTGTGTGGGTAAGATGGGGAGGGTGGTGTCGAGGGTCTCTGTGCCAGTGGTTCTCAGTGTGTGTATGCAGCAGAGACCTGATCCTGCCACCTGACCTGCACGGGGAAGAAACCCCTTGTGCCAGGTTGGCACCCAGGTTTGCCAAGCAGTTGCTGGCTTGGAAGAGCCCATCATTGTCAGGGAGCTGCTACAGCCATGCCAAGCTCTGCAATGCCAAGTTCTGCCTTTGCTGGTGTCTCACAGGTTCTCCATTCATTGTTGTTCTTCTGCAGCACTAACATAGTATCATTGCTCTTTTGTTTTTGTCAGCTGACAAATCTTTTTCATTTTCCTAGCTTGTCCCGCTGGATTTTGGGGCCCTGATTGCTTCCATTCATGCAACTGCCACAACGGAGCCATGTGCAGCCCTTCCGATGGAGAGTGTCGATGTACTCACGGCTGGACGGGGCTCTACTGCACTCAGCGTAAGCCTGTCAGAGGCACTCTTGTGCCAGGGAATCTGTCAAAGTATGTGCTGCTACCTCGTGTCTCTTCCAAGTATTGCAGTCGTCCCTGCTAAACCACCTCCTTCCTTGTGAGAACTTCACACCACTCTGAAGAAAATAGTCCTGAATATTTTTAAGGTTTCTTCATGCCTTTGGCACTTGATAAAGGATGGACTGATCATTGAACTTATTTATTCATGGTCAGAATTTGCAGTCTGTGACTCTGCCTGTTAAAGTCCCAGTATATGTGGTTTGATTTAGGAAAATGTTTGAGATTTCTCATCCTACTAGTGCCTAATTATCAGCTCTGTATGAAAGAGGAGATCAAATTCGAGGGAGCCTATTAAGAAGGCTCTTTCACTTGCAAGTAATGGATTGATCTCTGGCCTTTTGGAGAATTTCTGTTTAGCCATCTTCCTTCATTTCTTGAAAATGTAGTTTGTATAGATGGGTCAAGTTTTCATTCTTCTGAAACACTTAAGAGGCAATTTGGTAAGATATGAGAAACACTGCTTCAAGAAAATTGGCTGTCGTAGCATCTCTGCATTTAGATCATCAAATAAATGTTATTAAATATACAGAGGCTGAGAATCCATAGATTTATAGGCCTAAATATTTTCTTTATTTGCTGATAACACATCCAAGTTCGTGTTTCAGCTTATTTCTTAGTGTTTCCTTATTCTGATTCCTGAAAGGTTGCCCAGCTGCTTTTTATGGAAAAAACTGTGCCAATGTTTGTCAGTGTCAGAATGGAGCAGACTGTGACCACATCACTGGCCAGTGCACCTGCAGGACTGGATTTACAGGCAAGCAATGTGAGCAAAGTAAGTAGCAACAGGACTTCGTTTTTCTGTTTCTCTGGGGGTAGGATGAATTTCAGAACTCTTTGCAGAAACAGGCTGGTTAATGAGGTGTTGATGTCAGCAAGGCAGTAATCCCAGGTTACAATCCATAGAGAGGAGGTGGCACCTCTGGAAAGCTGGAGAGTCTGTTTCAGCCTAAAGAAACATAGTGAATCCTCTGCAAATCAGGTCTTTCTATTCCCAGCTTAAAGTTAGGCAAGATAAAACAAGTCACAGCCCTCAGTGCTGACTGGATGTAGCCTTCCTGAACACATTTTACCTGATTAACAGAAAAACACAAACTGCGTCATGCCTTGCTGGTGTTGTCGAAAGCAGCAGCAGCATCAGGTTTCCCTAGACATGAAGGAAGACAGAAGGGTTAAAAGAAAAAAGTCCTTTCTGCTCTCTGCCTTCCAAGGAATACTGTGGCTTTCTTGCTTAAGTTGTTATGCTATAGATGTTGACCAAATAAAGATTCATCTCTGCAATGAAAACAGATCAAGGAAAAAAGAATTGCTTGCTATTTTTGGATGGGTCTGTATTTAACTTGAGTAGTGAGCAAGTGTTTAACAATGAGCTTCAATTACCTTGCAAGGGTACTGGCATATCTTACTGTAATTGTTCTGAATGTCTTGCTGGCATATTTAGGACGTTGTGCCAAACAGCTTCTTTGAAGAACAAAGAATTAGGGTAGTGGAAACTCTGTGTGCTGTAGTTGAATAATTACTTGTTTGTCCAGTATAGTAAATCAAAAGAAAATTCTCACACACTTACTTGGATTCTAAATGCAGGGTGAAATCCATCTCACCTTACCAAGGCATTAATTCCACAGGCTTTCATTCCCTTTTTTTTTTGGCAGTAAGGTAATACAGGAACATTCCTGCTAGATTTGCAAGTGAAAGCTTCTTAACTGTAGCTTACGACCTGGATCTTTAATAAAGTATTTGTGCATGTAACTAAATTCATGGATATCTCTTTTTGCACATACTTGCATTCAGCAAAGCATGTATCGTGGGACCAAAATTGGTGCTCAGCTGGGGATTACCTATGGCACTGCCCTAACTCTCTGTGTCCAGCTTACTGAGAGTTTGTCTTCACCCTTACTGCAACCATAAATACAATAGGAGACTAAAAAGTTCATAGTAGAACTGTGAGAAGCTCCCTCTCCCTTAGCAATCCTGTTACAGAAGCAGAGCAAATCAAACCATTCAGATTCTCAGCAGAACAAAGCAGATGTTATACAAGACACTGCAGTTTTAATTTGACCTCTGTACAAAGCCTGAGGCTTTCTTTTCTCTCCAAACTACAAATGTATTTATTTATTAGTTTTTCTACTCTTTAATCTAAAAGACTCTTCATTAAGACTCCTTCCTTCTCAAAATCCTGCTGACTGGGCAGTCACACCACATTGGAGATAAAATGCCTAAATGCAGACATCATTTCTGTGGTGCAGTCCAGAACCTTCTGCCTTATTCATTTTAAGTAGGCCACAGGTTAATATCAGAATAAGCATTCACTGTAATAATTGTATTTTTCCTTGTTTGAGGACCTGATGATGAAAGAAAGTTATAAAACTTTAATATGTACTGCACATCATTATAATGATATTGGCTACTGTTCGTTACTTAATATTGAATTTTGGCTACTAGGAATTTGATAGAGACTAACATTGAGAAGGTATCATCGTCAAGAAGTCACATCTTAAAACAAACAATGTATATTCTAAAGAATCAGAGCAAGTGCACATGCATTCAGTAGAGTGTCATCTCTTTAGATAGAAGCAGGATGTGCTAGAAGTTGTTTCTTTCAATTTATTATTGAATAGTGCCTCAAGAAGTATGGTTAGCTGCCTACAGATTTATTGTAATAGCCCATCGTGGTAATTGTGTGAATAAATTTCTCAGCTGGACATTCAATCATTTTGTCTTTGATAGACATACAAAGACAGGATAGAAATTTCTTCTCTATTAACAATCTTAATACAGAAGCAGAGCAAATTAAACCACTCAGATGCTCAGTTCTGTAATTCCACCTGCAATGTTATATTAATCTTCTAGCCCTAGCAGGGAAAATCATGAAAGCGTGCAGGATTAGTTTGGTAAAAGTCTATTGTGTTCATATAAAGGTACATCAAAACTTTTCTTTGCAACTAAACCCCTGAAAAAAAAAATACACAGAATTGATGGAGAATGCTGTGCTCTCTCAAGATGTTGTCTATAGCTCCTGAGCTCATGCTCTGTTAAATCTGTATGCCTGTATTATCTGTCAAGCCTTTTAAAGTCTCTGTACATATTATTGGTTTCATTCTTGGGATGACTTTGCTAGAAAGTTACAGGCTAGTAAATAATGCCTCAAATTGTACATGAAATACATTTCTCTCCTACTTTAATAATAACCTAACTCTAGGGTGTTACCCTAGAGACACAGAAATCAGGAAGACTTTAAAAGTGAATTTTCCATGGCAAGTATTTCACCCATTTGCCCCAAAAAGTAGAATCCTTTCCAATTTTTTTCTTTGCCTTCCCAGAGTGCTCACCAGGAACCTTCGGTTATGGTTGCAAACAACTGTGTGAATGCATGAATAATGCTACGTGTGACCACGTCACGGGTACTTGCTACTGCAGCCCAGGCTTCAAAGGAATCCGCTGTGATCAAGGTACAGGGCAATTCTGCCTGTAAATCTCTCTCTCTCTCTCCACCCCCTCCAAAGATGTACATGCCTTAAAAAAACAGGGCTTCAAAAATGAAATGCACGATTCAATTTACAGTGTGTTATGAATTACTTTTAACAGCGGCTCTTATGATGGAAGAATTAAACCCCTATACTAAAATTAGCCCTGCTCTTGGATCAGAGAGGCACTCAGTGGGAGCAATCATTGGAATTATTGTTCTCCTTCTAATTATTATGGTCTTGCTGGCACTGTTTGTGTGGTATCGACGGAAACAGAAGGAGAAAGGCCATGACATGCCAAGTGTATCTTATACTCCAGCCATGAGGATGACTAATACAGATTACTCACTTTCTGGTAAGGGTCTTTTTATGTTAATCAAATATAGACTCCTGTTCCTATATGTTGGGGAAACATCAGCTTCTGTGATGTGTAACATGTGTTATTGAGCCTCAGAAATAATGACACGTCTGCTCTTCCCCCGAGTATCATCATCTTTTAACAATTAACAGGGACAGGAGAGCAAATATAACTTAAAGCTGATTTAAGGTGCTTTATATATGAAAGTTTGCTTACCAGGATACAGGATATACCTAGGCAAGAAGTCTGCTGCATGGAACACGTGAACTCCACGGTTTTTTAATTGGCTGCATTCCTATTGTGGTGCAGAGAAGTTTTCCCTTTGTGAAACCTTCAGAAGAAGACTTGGTTTTGCTTGGGGAATGGGATTTGGGGCTGACTGGGTCAATCATAAGTTTTTAGTTTGTCTGTGTTGCAGTTTATGATTTGAGGAGTCCTATTCATTGTCACCTTCTGTGTGCAGACCAGTCCCCATTGTCTAGACAGCTGGTGTGAGTGTTCTTCACAGGAGCTGATGAAAGCAGGAGAGGGGAAGAGGAAGGCTCTGTAAGATTTAAAAAAAAAAAAAGGCATACTGAGATCATATTTCTTTCTTCTTTCTATCTTTTCCTGCTGCAATGGAGAACAGCTTTCCTTGACTGGCTGAACTTTGGAGGATGTGATCTCCTTTTAACACTGTCATTCTTCTCTATTCCTCTATGGCCAGTATCAGATAGGATGCCAGGCAGGAGATGGCTTTCCCTCCTTTTTGTTTCCTCCGATCTGTCTCTAGTGGGGATCTCCTCAGGGTTTGCTGCCTTCTGACTGCACTTCACTTGCCTTTAAATGGCTGGAACTGTAAGTCCCAGCTCCTGAAGCAGACAGAGGCTGGCCTAACAGCTCTGCTTTCCCAGTCCTGCATTGCCGTTTTCTTTCTGCTTTCTAGTCTAAGTACACGAGGCCCAGCCACTCAGGCCTACGAGAGCATTCCTTCTTCTGATAGCTACAAGATGGGGGAAAAACAATCATCCTTGGACCTCCTCCCGTTGCCTTTTATTTTTGAATTTTAGCTTTACAGGCTCTTGCTTAAGCTGCCCATTAGAGTAAAAAATGTATGAGAGTGTTGCCAGAGAAGGCTCATCTGATCCTTGGCTAGTTGTCAGCACAATTTGGCCTGAAATTTGTCATTTCAACATCATTTGAAGAGCCAGACCATGAACATGCAAGAGACAACTGTGGCACATCTCAGCAGCAGCAAGGCTCCGAGTTCCAAGAGAGCAGATCACAGCCACTGGCATGGAAAGATGTTCTGAATTTTTCAGCAATTCATTTCTTTTGTATTGGCACTTTATGCATTTATTTACAAAGCCTGCTACACCTCATTTCTTCTGTGCTTTTCTAGTTAATGTATATGTAACGCAGCATGCTTAAGAGGCACAGCTTACAAATTTCAAAATAAGGAGAGTTTGGGAGTTCCTGACTGGAGTAATTGAGCGTCTGCTTTCAGACAAGGGGGAGAGAAGCCCTCCATTGTTTTTTCTCCATATTTCACCATCACAGCTCTTCAGACTTCACAATCAACCTGATGGTATCACAGGCTGATACTCTGCAGGAAGTCCAAAAAAGGCTAATGCTGAGAAAGGTTCCTCTTGTCCTTTGAAGTTAACACAGACAGGTGACTTTCCTTCTGAGCCATAGAAAGAAAGCCATTACTTTTGAAAATATTAGTAGCCCAAGAGTGTCCTTGCAGGTTGTCTTTGTGGGCATTGCATCTCCCTCTACAATGTTCTTCACATTCTTTTCGGGTGCAGGCGCCTATCCCAGAGCTCCTGATCCCACATGACACTCAAGTACTTGAGGAAAAGAAACATTTGGGGGATTGCTCAATTTTTGCTTGCATCGTGAATATCTGAAAGATCACATCCTTCAGCTTCATTGAATCTGGGATGTCTTCTGGTCCTTGGGCAATGACAGTGAATTTAATTCTTGTGTTTGTGGCACTGCTGCTCTGTATCAACTCAGTTGGTAAAAAACCTGTAATCCCAGGTCCTTGCAATCCCAAACAGCACCAGGTCAGTGGTGCTATGTGGGCTTCTCTAGAAAGAGAGTAGATGTTTCCTTCCTGTTCATCTCCATCACTGATGGAGATGCAGAATCCAGGCCTTTTCTTTCCTCTTCCTTTCTTTGTGCAGTTCCTGTAGCAATATAAATTTTATCACTGGGGAAGTGCACCTGAGTGGGGTCAGCCATCTTTTTCTGGAGGTCACAGGAACAGTTTCTTTGCTGTCTCCCCCCTGAAAAACTCTGCTTGCAGAGGAAGACTAAGAAGTCAGAAGTCACACTGCTCCATCTTCATCTCATTAGAAATTGCCTGCGGGTATCAGCATTCTTTCAAGTTTTGGTCTTTGTGTTAGAAGGGCATTTAAATATTCTAGACAAGGGCCTCTGAAAGCTCCCTGCCAAATTCTGACTGTCATCCAGTACATTCTCCTCCAGAAACTTTCTCCTTGTCAGTAGCCTTCTCAGCTTTGGCCTTACTGATGCTGTTTTCAGCCTTTCACTTCCATGGAGCTGCAGAAAGACAGCAAAAGGTGCTGACGTGTGTCTTCTCCAGCAGAAAGTGAGGAGGTGGATGCTGAGACAAGATCACAGATAAGAAATAGAGACTCAGAGCGTGGCTGGGTGGCAAGAGCAACACGTGTGTGTATGAGTGCATGTGTGTGCCTTTGTGCATTGCAGAGGATGCTGAAGGACAGCAGCAGTGTTACACAGAGGTAACAGGGATTTCAGCCTTCACCTGGACTTGTCTGTGTGGATTAAGGGCAGATTACCAGGCAGATGTACTTATCCAAATAATATAATCCCAAGTAAACCCATGGACTTCATCAGGAATTCCCCCTGAACAAGGACTGCAGTCTCCAGCCCTACACAGGCTGTAACCTCACAAGCTAACCTGAATCACCACCGTTGTGGTTTTGCTTGTTTGCTCTTGTTAGGGTGTAGTGCTGCTGTTGTTTCTGAATGGAGTCACACACACGGATCCCTTGCTCCTAGAGGCAGCAGTTTCTTCCAGCACATTAATTTATTTTTGGAGGATGTTTTTGGTCTTTATGTCCTCAACTCTTCTGATGCTGATAATCCCTGCATATGTGTGAGAGAGATTGTAAAGCAGGGGAACCCCTCTGGGCAGCCCTTCCACTCGTTTGCATTTGGGGATGAAAGATGTGGCAGCAAAACACACACTCTGCCCAGCCACCAGTGGGAAGGAAAACCACCCATGCTGGGAGAGCTTAACCACAGCCTGTGGATCTGAGAGCAGACTTTCCCAAATGAGCCTGAAATTAAAGTGGTGCTCCCCAGCATGAGAACAGGACTTTGCAAAGATTTTAAAGTGCTGCTCGTTTAATTCAAGGAGATGGGGACAGAAGGGGAAACTATGTGGTGGTGCTGGAGAGCAGCAGAGACCTCTCTTCAGGAATTTCACAAAAACTTCACTACTGGCTTGATGCTTGAGGTCTTATCAAGGTCTTCACAGACTTTCTGATATGAGTGAATCCTCTGCTGAAATCCAAAACCTGAGCAAAGCTCACTACAAATAGAACCTCATGGATCCCACAGCCTAGACAAGACATTTACAGAAATGATGTATGGTAGGAGGTGTCAGAGTGAACCCTCTTGCTTGGAGTCTTCAGCCACCCCCCTGCCACTCCGTATGGGTGGAAAAGGTCCACACAAAAAGAAGAAAACAGCTTGAGATGTCTGGGTTTGGATTGACTGCAGAGTGCTTACTTATCCCCTTCTTCCCACGGCTGGCCTTGTGCCCAGTGGATGAGGACTTGTGCTCTTTGCCTCACCCACAGCCCTGGCTGGGAGCAGAAGCTCAGTCTTTCTAGTGCTAGTGTTGTGGCCTTCAGCCAGCCCTCATGGATCTTCCACTGGAGTGCAGCCTCAGGCCTGAGGGGCTCACGGCAGGACCCTGCCACCATGGATCCCCTCACAGGACTGATCCCCCCATGTGAACAGTAACATAACTTTGGGGTTCTTTTGCTTTGTTTTAATTTAAATCATTCCCTTTCTTTAAGGCATTTAAGTTTTTGCTTACCATTCAGAGCAGAATAAAATCCTCATCTTCAGGAAGAGAGGGGGGTTTGTGGGTTGTGGCTTTGTTGTTGTGGTTTTTTTTGGTTTTTTTTTTTTTTTCTTTTTTTAAGTGAGATAGCATTAGATTTGAATTTGATGTATTTCCAGCCAGCAGTTATAAAAGCTTCATGAATAAATGTGTAGAAAATGGACTGTGCTATCAAGGTAAATCAGCCTGGGTGGGTAGTTAAGTATCGACCAAATGGAACTGTGTAGAAGGAGTAATTCTGAGTATATGGAACTGCATGCAATGAAGGAAGAAAGGATTTCTGGTGGTGCAGACTTGTGTACGAGCTCAGGTTCATTAATTCAGCACTGTGCTGAGCAGCAGGGCAGTCTGGCAGACTTTTCCTTCGACTCATTTTGGGTGCACAAAACAAGCTACAGCCAGATAAGCTGGATGTGAAATTGTAACATGTTGGCTCACAGTCACCCTCGGTCCGTGCCCCTTTATCTCCCAGTGAGGGCAGTGGACCATGGCTCTTCTCCCCCCAGCTGCTCCTCCTGCCCAGGGCCGAGCCAGAGCAGGACAGATAAGGAAAGGGGCAGGCAGAGCTGAGAGCTGCAGTGGCTCAGCCATCAACGCTCCCCTGCGAAGCAGCAAGGTGTGGGTGCTAGTGTCTGGGCTTAGTGGGGAGTGCAGGCTGGGAGAAGGGAGGATGAGCTCTGCTCCCTGCTGAGCTGCCAGGCCCTCACTAGCAAGTTCAAGGCTGTGTGTGAGCAGCTGTGTTTGTGATGGGCACATGCTGATCTCTGGGTTTGGGTTCCAGCCCCTGGTCTCATCTGCAGACCCCAAGAGGTTTCTGTTTCTTGTGAGTTCTACCGCAAGTATCAGAGCTGTAGTTAGGGGAGGTGGCAGACTACCACCCTCTGATCTG